TCCCCTCCCCCCTCTCCCTCTCCCTCTCCCTCTCCCTCTCCCTCTCCCTCTCTCTCTCTCCCTCTCCCTCTCCCTCTCTCTCTCTCTCTCTCCTCTCTCTCTCTCTCTCTCCTCTCTCTCTCTCTCTCTCTCTCTCTCTCTCTCTCTCTCTCTCTCTCTCTCCTCTCTCTCTCTCTCTCTCTCTCTCCTCCTCTCTCTTCCATTTCCCCTACCGTTCTCCTTATTCCATCCTTTTCTACGAATGCAGGCGTCGTGGCGAACCTCGTGTCCGCGACGTGTTATTCCATTCTCCTCCCTTAGGCCGGGCGGCTCTTCTTCTTTTGCGTCCTCTTGCATTTCCTTATGGTCAGTAAATTTTAAACCTTGTGCCTCCCTTGACAGCTTTTCTCATCCCGTATTCTGTTGCCGCTGGCCAAGTCTTTTAGCATTTTCATCTATATATGTGTGTGTGTATATATATATATATGTATATGTATATATATATACTATACATATATACATACAACATACTATTATGCATACATACGTACATATATGTATATAATATATATATATATATATATATATATATATATGTATGTATGTATGTATATATAGATGTTATATGTATATCTTTATATACGTGTCTATATCTATATCTACATAGATATATATGTATATATATGTGGATATATATAAAGATAGATATTTTCCTATTTCGACATAGCGCGGATCAGAGCAAAGTTCCCGGATGATCATATGTTATTTCGCCTCTTTGCCGACCCCCTGATTACGGAGAGAAAATAGAAAAAGCAGAATTAAAAAAGTCTGCCTCATTCCCTCTCCGCCGCCGCCCGAGATTGCTTCCTGCCTTCCCTTAGACTAATGCTTTCGGGAGCATTTCCGCATACGTGCGTGCGTCTTGTATGTATGTCAGTGTATGACTGCATGTTTTGCGTGTGTGTGTTATATGTATGTGTGAGTATATTGTACGTGTATACATATAGATTTATGTGTGTGTGTGTGTGTGTGTATGTGTGTATTGTATGTATGTATATATATATATATATATATATATATATATATATATATATATATATATATATGTAGTGTGTATATATGTATGTATATACTGAGGCAGGTGCGTGCATTAATTATGCATCCATCCTTTCTGCCTGTATCTCTCCCCCAAAAAACTCCGTACGCCAGCCAACAAATTTTCATCCATAGTTTGAGAATTTCAGTCACGGACGGGGAAAACTTTTTCGAAACAAATTATTCTTCGCGTTTTTTTCGCTTCTTGAATCACTGAATATTTCCGTCCACGCACGCCTCGCCCCTTCATTAAGCTCGTGTGTTCTATGGAAGAGTGATAATCCAATCCTGTCGTGACTAATGTATACATGGTTGTGTGTTTATGGTAGATTAAGTTTATATATATATATGTGTGTGTGTGTGTGTGTGTGTCTGTTTTGTTTCCTCTTTATCCTTCAAATCACATATGGCTTCTGCTTTTATTACTCCTTCGCCTCTTTATTTATCTTTTTTTTTTCTCATTATCAATTATGACTAAAACTACGTCTAAGAAAGAAACCCCTAGTGTGTATGTGTATGTTTATGTGAGTGTGTGCGTGTAAGTCTTTGTGCCTATATATGTGCGTCTGTGTGTGTGTTTGATTGTGTGTGTGTGCATGTCAGGCTGTGTGCGTATGTGTGTGTGTGTGCGTGTGTGTACATTTGCTTCTGCGTTTTATTATTTGTTTTTGTTTTCCTCATTTCTGCTCACGCTTCCTCGCGCCTCGACAGCTTCTGGGCGCAGGTTCTTGCGTCACACGTCACCCAACCATCCCATCGGCGCCATCATGAAACTTCTCGCCTTACGTTTATTCTTCTTTAAAAAAATAGTGATAAAAAACAGATATTAAGACTATATTGCTTCTTTTTCCTCTTTCCACGCTATTTATTGCATGGTGATTCTCATTCTCTCTCTCTCTCCCTCTCTCTCTCTTCTCTTCTCTTCTCTTTTATCAATGCTGTCTTACGTTTTCCTGTTCTATATACTTAGATATAGATATAGACATATATTTTGTTTCTGGTTCTTTAAGTATGGTGTTTCTCCTCATGGTTATTTAAGGCCTTGCACCTTTTCCTTCCAGCCAGCTTATTTATCTTTACATTTTACCCACTTTCTTTATTTTATCTTATTTTCACTCCCCAAGTCCCGTCTTACTCCCCCCCCCCCCCTTCATCCTCAACTCCTCCCGGTGTACTTTATTAAAAGTTAACCAAAAGAAGTTGATAATCCGGTTCTTAGTCCCCCATATCTCTCCTTATCTCCCCCTCCCCTCTTCCCCTTCCCTCTTGCTAAGATCTTCCTCCTCCCTTGCTCCTACCTCCCCGCCCCTCGGTATCTCTTCCATCCCTCCCTCCCCCTTCGCTTACCTCCCCGCCCCCTCCACTTCCCCGCGCTCTCCCCCCTCCCCCTCCCCCCAACCGCCAAGAATAAGACCAATAACTGACGCACATTTTTTCTTTTCTCCTCCCCCCTCTCCCCCCTCTCCCCCCATACGATGTACAGAAAATGCACGTGTACAAGAAGACGCTGCAGGCGCTCATCTACCCGATCTCCTCGACGACGCCCCACAAGTTCCTGCCCTGGACGGCCACCTCGCCCACCTACTGCTACGAGTGCGAGGGCCTCCTGTGGGGCATCGCGCGGCAGGGCGTCCGCTGCGTCGAGTGCGGGGTCAAGTGCCACGAGAAGTGTAAGGACCTTCTCAACGCGGACTGTTTGCAGAGTAAGTGCGCTGAGGCTTCGGGTTCGGGGGCGAGTCTGCGGGCGTGTGTCCGTGTGCCTGTGGGGGGGATATTTTTTGTTTTTGTGTGGGGGGTTTGACTGTTGTTTTTTCTAGACTTTTTTTGTTTTTGATGTCGACGTGATTTTTTTTCTTTTGTTTCTTTTTTATGGTTTGATTTTACTTATTTTTCGTTGTGTAACTTTTTAAGAGAAAAATGTGTAACCAGGATCTCTTAGCGTTTTAAATATTTTCTTTTGTATATTCATATAAAATGCGTTTTATTTATATTATTCATTTGTGCACTCTTAATTTTTCTACACCAAGAACATCAAAACAGGAATGTTGAGTAACCCACTTGTAATACAAATTACATGATCTTACATAAGCATTTTACGTAAACATGTTTGTAGTTATTTTGAAATTAATTAACCACTTCTCCATCGTGCATAAAACAAGGTACGTTAAGTTTGCAGCATATTTATATCTTTAAAATGTCGCATGCACCGATGTTGGCAACGTTGCAGCTTGTAGTGTAGCTAAATCGTTGCAGACAAGGTAAATATTTGTGCAGTGTGCAATTTATTGGCGGTAACATTGCATGTAAATTGTTGCGAATGCCCAACGAAATCTAATTATAGTTTCCGTTTAATGTACAGGTCCAATCAAATTAGTTTACCTGCTGTCATTTTGTAGTACGTGGGTAGTGCTACGTTTTAGTGTGGATCGCTCGCTGTCGTTGTCGACGGCGTTGGTGTGTTGTGTGCGTGTGTGTGTGTGGTGTGTTGTGTGTGCGTGTGGTGTGTGTGCGTGTGTGTGGTGTGTGTGTGTGCGTGTGTGTGTGCGTGTGCGTGTGTGCGTGTGTGCGTGTGTGTGTGTGTGTGTGTGTGTGTGTGTGTGTGTGTGTGTGTGCGTGCGTCTGTGCGTATGTACGTACATGCTTGAGAGAGAGAAAGAGAGAGAGTTAGTGTGTGTGTCTGTGTGTGCGCGCGCGCGTTTGTGTGTGTGTGTGTGTGTGTATGTATGTGTGTTTGTTTGTTCATTTGTGTACCCGTATTTGTATATGGCAACATGAAATACACATATCTGCCCGATGATCTCACACCCACAGCTTTTATTGGCATGATACTTGCCTGACCTCTAATAAGTTTTCGTTTTCTCCTACCATTTCTTTTGCATTTTCGTATCTGCACGTGTGTTTGTTCTCCGTGACGTCACCCGTCTGTTGTGTGTGTGTGACGTCATCACCAACTAAAACAGCTGCATACAACTTGGCCAAACACGCCCCCTGGTTGCCCAACGTCGAGCTAGTCCAAGTACTTGTAGAGAGTAAGTACTTTGTGCTTCTACGTCTAGGTTCGTGTGGACAGTAAGTGCTATGTGGTCTCTTTCTACATGGACTGTGTGTTCGGCCGGAGCTATGTTGTTTGCTTACATAACGCAGGTACTTTGCAGGTAACAAGAAACATCTCAGCTTTATGCTGATTATATTTGCTTTTCCTTTGTTCTTTGCCCTTTTTTTTACTCCTACTTTCATCTCCGTTTGTGGAAGCAATACACTCTGAGCATCTAGATGGCAGTTTTACACCCAGGAAAAAAATAAGCCCGGATGTTGCTTTTATCCTTCAGATAGTAATGCGTTTTCCTCATCTCTCCGCGCTCTCCTCCTTCCCTCGCCTTCTTTGCTTGTCCCTTCATTACATTTAGAAAAACTCGCCAAAGCTCTAAAGGTTCCCCACGCTACTCCTGTAAGAGGATCAAAGCTTTCATACCTGGCAGCCAAAAACGCACTTTTAGCGAAGGTTACACAGGTGAGAGAGATTCGAGTTCCCCTTCTTCTTAAAAGTACAGAAGCCGACGTCGAATTTACATGTTTTCTTATGCAGATTTTTGTTCATTGTTTTACAGAATGTATTCAAATGTATCGTGTGTTTTACAATGTCAACTTCAATTGTTTTAAGAGTGCATAGAAAAACGATCGCACTTTGATTCATTCAACATTTCTATAAAACACTTCATAGAAATGCTACATGGCACCCGAACACAACATGACACTCCAGCATCGAACATTACATTACGTGTTATTACATCACTCTAGATGGAGCTGTCGACGCACACCTCTGATCGATGGTCGTTTGGCCGATCGATCGACAGGAAGCAGGTGTGGCGCTGGTCATGCCACTCCCAGCTCCCACCTGCTACACCTGCTTCGCCTGCCTCACCTGTCGCTTCAGTGCGCTTCCCCTTGTCCTTCCCTTGTTATTTATGCATTATTCCCCCGTTCCCTCCGTTACGTTTCTTTCTTGGGCGGAGGACGTGGGAGCCGGACGCGGATTTGTGAATTATTAATAGGTTGGGAATTTATCGACCCGGATTGTGTCTCGGGTCGGGTGTCTCCATCGCTGTTGTTATTGTTATCGCCGTTTTATGCGGTGGAGACTTGGGGGGGGGGGGGGCAGATGTTTGGGGGGGGGGGGGATGGGGGCTCGGTGTAGGTGTGGAATTTTCCTTGTTCTTGTCCCGTTCTTCTGTCTACTTGTTTTCTCTCTCTCTCTTCCTCTCTCTCTCTCTCTCTCTCTCTCTCTCTCTCTCTCTCTCTCTCTCTCTCTCTCTCTCTCTCTCTCTCTCTCTCTCTCTCTCTCAAATGTTCACTACCTTTATCTTTTTTCTCTTTCCTCTCTCTTCTACTTTTTCCTGAGCCCGCCTCTTCACCTGCACTCTCCCCGCACTTTCATTCTTACAGTCTCTCACCTCCCTTGTTCCGTTTTTCTCCTCCTTTTCCCCTTGCGCATTTCTCCGCTTTACCCTCCGCAATCTCTTTTCTCTTCTTCTCTCTCTCTCTCTCTCTCTCTCTCTCTCTTCTCTCTCTCTCTCTCTCCTCTCTCTCTCTCTCTCTCTCTCTCTCTCTCTCTCTCTCTCTCTCTCTCTACATATATAGATAATAGATAGATATATACATATACACACAATATACAATATATATATATATATATATATAAATATATATATAAATACACACACATATACATATCTTGTGTTCTCTCTCTTGCTTCCCCTCTTTCTCCTCTATCTCCATTTTCTCCAACATTTTCTTCTTTCTCTTCTGCATTTTCTCTCCCCCCTCCTCTTCATTTCATGCAACTACTACTACTACATCGTATCTATCCTCTGCATATTCCTCTCCTCCTCTTCCGCTTCTTTCTCCTCCTCCTCTTGAGCAACATCGCAAAATGGCCATTAGCCGACACATCGTTACTCGAAACGATATCACGTAATCTATGCCATCACGGCGAGTTACCTGAGAGTTGTCCAGCGCCTCCCATTAGTGTAAAATGAGTTATAAAAACAAAAGTTGCGCCTTTTAGGAAATGGTCACTTCTGCTATCTGTTTTGTTTTTCTTTTTCTTTCTTTCTTTTTCACTGTTTGTTGGTCAGTTGGTTGGGTGGTTGTATTTTTGATGTTCGGAGGATTCTCGGGCTGTTCGCTTCGAGGTTTGGGAATGCGAGAGTAAGGGGTCATCTCTTGGTTAAAAGGATTCAGGGGAGAGAGATGGTTTGAGAGAGAGAGAGAGAGAGAGAGAGAGAGAGAGAGAGAGAGAGAGAGAGAGAGAGAGAGAGAGAGAGAGAGAGAGAGAGAGAGAGAGAGGAGAGAGAGAGAGAGAGAGAGAGAGAGAGAGAGAGAGAAGAGAGAGGAGAGAGAGAGAGAGAGAGAGAGACAGAGACAGAGACAGGCAGACAGAGAGGAAGGGAGGGAGGAAGGGCGAGGGAGACAGACAGACAAGAGACAGATATAGAGCCGGAGACAGAGACAGACATACTTAGAGTCAGACAGGGAGACAGACAGAGAGAAAAGAAGAGGAATAAACGATAAAGAAATCTGAGAATGCAGCCTTCGCTCCGTGGTATGAAAGAGAGGAGAATAAAAAATGTGAAAGGGAACGAGGAAGAGGCCGCAGAGCTGGAAAGGCAATCCTCACTCTTGTCTAATAGGATGAGGCTCGCAAATGCTGGATCGGGGATGCACGCGGCATAAAGGCAGGAGAGTGTGGATGCGGAATACGCGGTCGAGATTTTGAGGTTTAGGCAAAGGCGGGGCTACGGAGGGGTTGTGGGAAGATATGTTGGGGAGCATTTCGGTGTAAAATGATGCTTATTAGGCGTAGGTTCGCTCCCTCCCCTTCCGCGCCTCGTCCTCTTTAACCCAACATGAGGTATAAATAAACAATGATAAATTTAGCAGGGGTGAGTTTTTAGTTCCCTATTTATTTCTCTTCCCCCCAAAAGCCTGTAATCCCTTTAAACACCGCTAAGGCAGATTTCTTCCACAGTTGATACACCGTAAACGCATAACAATCAGTCAGTACAACAACTTTCACAATCATACACCAGCATATCTCTTTTGTTTCACTCCCTCTGCCTCTGAGGAAACGAGTAAGCCAAAGAAGAGTAACGACTGAGTAACCCCGAGACACGAACATTGCATCATGTTATGCCTGCACGAGTAACGCCTCATCTATCCTGTTTTTGTTTTTTTTCCTCGATGCACGCCGAGTAACGAGTAACCAATCCTGAGAATAACGCCCCATCCTATGCTTGCAGGAGCGGCCGAGAAGAGCAGTAAGCATGGCGCGGAGGACAAGACCAATAACATCATAGCGGCCATGAAGGATCGCATGAAAAAGAGAGAAAGGGAAACGCCGGAAATATTCGAGCTTATAAGGTACGT